AACATGCTTATTCTGATAGAAGCTTCTGAAAATGACTGTACAATTGAAATAATTGTTTCACTTCTCATATCATTCTTTGGGGACTGAAAACAAAAATAAAACTGTTTTGGGCTTAGTCAGTGAACTGAGGTGTTTCCAGATGGTGTTCTATTTCTATGGTAATTCTTCCAAATCTGCACCTCTGTATTTGGAATTCACATTATGTTTTCCCCATTATCGTTGAATAAGTGAATCGGTAGCTGAAATACTTGGTACAGTTGGTACAAATTATTTTTCTTATATTGGTATTTAGAGGAAACATGCTGTTCTGTTGTAAGGCCACTTCTGAGTTGAAGCTGAAAGGAACTTATTGTTTTGAGCATTTTGTGCTTGGGTGTTATACTGTCATGACCTAATTTCTTTATCTGCTTTTTGCCTGTTTACTCATAATTGTATTATTGTAGAGATTATGACCTATTTATCATCTTGTTTGAAGAAAAAGACCATAACCATTTGTTGTTATTGTGGTTTTTTAATGGTACTCATATTATCCTTTGTTCCTTTCACAATTTTTTTCAATCCTTTTTAGTCATAGTAACTGAAATTTCTGTTCTTGTCTTGTGCAGAGGAAGTGTGATCTCAAGCATCCCCCAGGCGATGAGATATACCGCAATGGCACACTGTCAATGTTTGAAGTAAGTTCTCATGTGCTTCTTAAGTTCAAGGTGCAAATAATATTTTGCTAGCAGGTTTGAGTTCTTGTCAAATAATAGGTTAGGAATATTTCCACCAACTTTTTTTTTTCGAAAAAGGTAAGGTAGATTTAAAAAGAACAAAATATATATACAAAGCTGGCTCAGTGAGGACCAAAACAATATTCCAGAAAAAAGAACCAACTGAATCCCCAAAACCAAGCAACAAAAAGCGAAACTAGGGTACCCCAAAACAAAAGCTGAGAACAACCAAACTAGACCGGGCCTAGCAAAAGACTAGATCCCAAAACAAATCCTTAAACCACTACCTTTTTGGTCCTCCCTCCTAGACCCTTGCTACATGTACAATAAGACACCCTGCCCCAAGGAGTCATAGCCACATCATTATAAAATTCGGAGAGCATTTTGACTTCCCTGCAACCTGGTAAGCATTCAAGGCCATCAGTAGACCACTTCGAGCCCTTGCCACCGGTTGAGGTAAGATCCTCCAGAGGCCCTGCTGGCTCTCCTTCAAGATTGTTTGGGCCTCTTTCTCCCACAAGTATGAAGTATCTAGCTTTAACCACCTCCCTCATTCTGCCTTCCCCTCTGGAAATTTCCACCAATTTCTTTAGCCATGTAACTGAAACATTTACTTTATTACCATGTTCAGGTTTGCACAGTGTCTTGTTTGTTGGGGAAAAAATGTCAATAATGTGTTAAATTTACATCTTTGAATTTAATACTCTCTCTCTCTCTCTCTGAGAATTTTGCATAGGCTTCTGCTTAGTTTTACATGTGTTCGTAATCTTTGTCAAACATTAGTTTGTCCATTTTCCTTGAAATGCACCTTATGTGGCCATTGTATTGCATTTCTATAAAATGGGATTCTAGCAGCCCCTTCATCTTCTTTGAGAGTTGAACAATTTGAAACAGGTTGATGGAAAGAAGAACAAAGTGTACGGGCAGAATCTTTGTTATTTGGCAAAGTTGTTCCTTGATCACAAGACACTCTATTACGATGTTGATCTATTTCTATTTTATGTTCTATGTGAATGTGATGATCGAGGATGCCACATGGTTGGATATTTTTCTAAGGTAATTGCTTTAGTTTGTTTGCTTTTTTAACTTGGTTATACACTGGTTATCATCATTCCCTTTTTTTTTTTTCAATTTCCCCCTAATTTTATAGATATACTTCCCAGAAGAACTTTGACCAATCACCCCCACCCCAGTGAATTTTGATGACTACCAACTGACCGGTTACCAGCCGACCGATATAGTTGGGATAAGGCATGGATGATGATGACCAGCCGACTGGTCACCACTATTATAATACTGGTTGGTTGGTTATCAGTTTTTCAGGTATGATGTCTTCATGTTATCAGATTGGATGAATGATGGACCAGACTATCCATCAGATCAGATGGGGGTCCACTGGATAGGCCATTTGTTCAATCATGTCTACGTCAGCTCCAAACTCAACCATGTATTAGGGTTTTCCCAACTGATATAGCTGTCCAATTTTTATTTTCTTTAATTTAAAATTTATCTAAAAAAGGTTTATTTTGAAACATGAAAAAGTCTTTTGGGATGAAAATTCCATCATTAGAGGATGGAGAGAGGAATGTGGATGCTCCTTTTTGAGATCCAAACTAGCTTGCCACATGGAAGATTATCAGGTCATCTAATGAAGCTCACTGAATGACCTGACTAGCAAGCCTGGTATACATAATCTAATATATCAATTGCCATGTATGTGTGTGTACATTAGGCCCGGTTAATTAAAGGAAAGGTCGCACCTCGTGCCTTTCCATGGGTTGCTTGTAACACTTATTTCATAGATTAATGAAATCATACTCATTTATAAAAAAAAAATATGCCTGATTATAATTAACATTTCAAAAATAAATAACTTCTATAATGTAATAATTTTTTTGGGGAGTAACTTGGTTTCAACTGGAGGTCAGACCTGAGATACCTATTTTTGGTGGGTTAGATTATCTCAGTCTGTATTTTAAGATGGAAGCCACTTGGAAGCAATACATATCTGATAAAATATGGTAAGGATACAGGTCCTGCCATGTATGCATGTTTCTGTTTCTGTAGGATCCGATCCATAATCAGACCTAGATGTGCAAATGGGACTGAATCTGGATTCACACTTAAAGAGTCAACCAGTATCACCCAAATCCAGACCTGAAGCATAATTCGGATGCAAGCCTGGATCCACTCCAGATTTTCCATGCCCTAGCCCATGGATTATAACTAATATTCTCTGATATCTGCTAAGTAATATTTGTTTAAAAGACCTTGTTTGGTTTTTTTTTTTTGAAAGATTAAATTTATTAATAAGAGAAGAGAAATAAAGGAGGGAAAGATTCCCATCCTGCTAGGGATACAACGAGTGAAAAATTAAAAAAAAAAACACAATTTCAAGGAAAAGTTATCATCCCACCCCCCCCCCCCTCTCTCAGGTGAAATAAAATTTTATTAAAGACAATGAAGATGAGTACAAGAAATTTGACCAGTGGTCACCCAAAAGAAGAGAATTAAAAAAAAAAGGAACAAAAAAATCCACACCCCATTCACAACTTCAAGGAAGAAACTCAACACCTTGGAGCACAGAAAACTACAAAAGATCACTCTCCAACCAACAAGAAAGATTAACAACCTTCCACCCAAAACCAAGGACACAACTCAAGAAACAGTCAATCTTAACTTCTGCCCAACAAACCCCCCAAACAGGGTGTCCAACCACTTGAAAACTATTCCTCTCCTCCAAACACACCAACAAACTGCCAAAGGAACCATTTTCCAGAGAATTTTTCCCTTCTTTCAGAAGGCCAACAATTTCCAAGCAGAGACCAAGCTATTGACATCTGGGGGTTCCACCCAATTGATACCCAACAACTGCAGCATATGGTACCAGATTGAACGTGTAAAACTGCACTGCACCAGAAGATGTTGAGTATTCTTCTCTGCTGCACCACATAGGCAGCAATGATTGACAATTACCATTCCCTTTAGATCTCAAGACATCAGCTGATGGGATCTTCTCTTTAATTTCCGTCCAAAGGTAAAAACAAATTTTTGAAGGAACTTTTTGTTTCCAAATCCATCCCCATGGAACTTCCTCCCCACCTGGTGTCCAACCTTAGAGAACATTGGTTTTACTGAAAAATGGCCTGACTTGCCTCCCAAGTCCCAACCACCATGTCTGATCAACATCATTGGCTGGGGCATACCCGTTCCATAAGCTGCACCATAACAACAAACGACTCTAAGTCTCAGTCATTTACATGCCTCCTCATTTGAGGGTTCCGGTTAGCAATCATCTCATAGCAGTTACTTATCTTTGCAAGCTTATCCTGGGCTAGAGCATAGATGCTTGGAAGAGTTTGCCACAGTAACATGTTCCCACACTTCTAAAATATAAATATTCTCCCTACTTTCTATTTTGGGAGAAATAAAATTGAAAAAAAAAAACCCTCTGTGATGCATTGTGCCCTTCCACAAGCTCATGACATAAGAACCATTCACTGGTTTTGTCTTCCACCTGAGGCTTGCTTCACCATAGTTGCAAGTTGCAACTTATCAGATTCCTCACAGATCATTCTTCTCAGTTCCAAACTGCCACAACCATTTTGAGAGAAGGCCTTTGTTGATTGATTTGCTTCAGAGGCTAAATAGCAGCACTTCAGGGGATCCAGTTGGCAGGACCTGTTGAAACTGACTTTCATTGTATATCTTCTCGTTCTGCATATGTATGGTTTACTGAACTACACTTGGATATATAAATGCCAATAAATCTGGAAACTGAAGAAGCTTTGATACGGATTGTAGATGTGTCTGATGCAGAACCCTTTTTGCACTCTATAATTCTGTGTGTTAAGCTACCCCTTGGATGTGCCATAGGCCAAAAGTTATGACTGCCTCTTGATTCCAAATAATCTTTTCAAGAGCATTTTCTTTTGGAAAGTTGGGAATAGTTTGCACTATAATGTTGAAAATGGTCCATTCTCATCTTCTGAGCATTAGATGCTTTAAGTAAATTGTTAGGATCACATATGTCTTGATTTGAAGTTGTAGCCAAACTGGGGCAGATAACAGCTTGGTGGTCAGGAAGCATCATATTTTAGGTCATTAAATTTCACTCCATGTAATGAATAATGAAAAAGAAGAAATAGAGAATAAAGTTTGTTAAATATAGCCTTCATTGAGGTTTGTACATTAAATATGAGACTTGTCCTTAATATGTTTCACATATCATTCGGGACATAAATTTATGGTCTGCTTTGAAATCTTAAAGGTGAGGTTTTCCTGGTTGGGCAATAAATTTTGGGGTCTGTTGATGTCTTTTGGTCCTCTAGGTAATGGTTTCTTTATGCCAATTTTGTGTGACTTATTATTGATATTGCAAATAACAGGAAAAGCATTCGGAGGAATCTTATAATTTGGCCTGCATTCTTACCCTGCCCCCTTATCAAAGAAAAAGCTATGGAAAATTTCTAATTGCTTTCTGTAAGTTTCTGTTATATATTTCCTTTGGTTTTCATTTTTCCTCCTTTCTCTTTCCTTGTTTTGAATTAGAAAGGGTATAAATAGAACAATCAATTTGTTGGAACCCTCCTGGTGAGTTTAGTTAGTTTTTACTTTTCAAGAATTTATTAATTTACTTTGAATGATTGATTATATGGTTGACTGTCTAGTTTGGATCTCCCAGAGCAGCTAAAATACCCAGATACGGATACCTATGAACACTGATGCAGAAAACAGGACCAAGGGCCAAGGGCCAAGGGCCATTGCCTAGTTTGTGTCTAAAACTTACAAAGTTCTTCATATAATAAATTTTGTTAAAGAAAATCGTTTATATTTATGCTTCTTAGCAAACAAATACTTATTCAAATAGGACCAAGGGCCATTGCCCATTGTTGGTCCTGGCTATCTAGTGTTTTGGGGGGGTGGACTGAATATGGACTTGGTCTTCAGCATTTTCTTGCAGAAAGTGGCTGCTGTCAGACTCTAACCTGCATTTTAATGCTTATGATTCAAGATTTTACCATAGGAGTTGTATGAATAGCATGTAAGAATTAGTGTTTCAAGTTTTAACATGTCATTGACCCTGGCAATTGATCCAGTGATCCTGACAGTTGACTGGGTCCTGGGTTTTTGACATTTTCTTATTATTGCTCTGGGCAAATTGCTATTTAACTGTTTAACCTGTGAACCTTCCAGCTTTCTGGTTCAGTACCAGGCCGGTTTTTAAAGCATTGATAAAAATAATAAGCTTTTGATTCTAACTTGTCATTTAAAAGTGCTTTTGATTATAGAGGCATTCATATTTTTATCTGGAAAATGTTAATTATCCGTTTTTATCACTTAACAGCATATGAGCTTTCTAAGAAAGAAGGTAAAGTAGGCACACCAGAAAGGCCACTTTCTGACCTTGGACTAGTGAGCTACAGAGGGTATTGGACCAGGGTCCTTTTGGACATCTTGAAAAAACACAAGAGCAATATCTCCATCAAGGTATGCATGGCTCTAGTCAAAGATGATCTTCTAACAGCCCTTTTTTCCCTCATCTCTTTGTTACCGAATTGCTTTTTGGTCTTTTTTTTGTCCTTGAATCTTCTTTCTATTGTTTGAATGCCAAATTTTCTTGTCATCATCAAATGATTGTGTAGGTTTGGAGGACATGGTCTATTTTTTAGTTGACTTCTCCAACCATGCTTGTTATCGTTTATTTTAAACTGGTACTCTCATCTTCATGTGCACAGAAAGATTAAATTAAAAGAAAGTGAAACAAGAGACAATGGGGGAATGCATAGAAATGTGAAAGCTGATATGGCTATCCTATGAGCATTATGGATCGTTCAGTTGGAATATTCATATTTTCCAACAACTTGCTCTCTACTATGCTTTGAAATATTGTTGTAAAATAGTTTCTGCATTTTGAGTCGGTAAGAGCTGATATGGATTATAAAAGTTATTTATCCGGTCAGTTATACACTGTGGATAAGCTTGGAATTAGATAGGCATTGAAGTGAGTTATAGCTAAGTTTGCACTTTGGATCAAGCTCAACCCAAACATAATTTAGCCTACCTGATGTAAGGATGGACGAAGTTGGGCTTTCCATGCATCAGTTGGTGTTAGGGTTGAAAAACATCAAGGCATGTGCAGAAACATTGAGCAGATCAACCCAACTTTGAATATTTCGCATATAAATTGTAGTATATGAATAGAAGGTACACACAAATTTCAAAATATCGATTCTCATGGTACACAATTGCGTATTGTGGGTTTTCAACAAGTGATACTCCTTTTTTTTTAATGTTTGGATGGGTATTAACAACTGAAATTATTAAAATGTCCTAGCTCTTAGTATTTATCCCTTTGTTGACCCTTGGTACCGATATAATACGACACTGTACGTATCTATACTTTGAACCTTGGGTACGCATGAAGGGATACTTAGTTGGTGCTAAATATCTTGTTTTATTGCAAGTTCAAGTAGTTTTTGGTTGATGTTGCAAATTCAAGTATCACCATCACCTCTACTATATATAAATATATTACAATACCTAAAGCGAGTAACCCAAACCCAACCCAACCTGATTTGATTGATCTGGATTATCTGGGTTGGGTTCGGTAGGCTGGATTTAGATTTGAGTGTTATGCTCATCTTCTTGGGCTGGACCGGAGACTATCTGAAATGTCCTGCAAGGCTGCAACCTAGTTATAGAAGCCCTAGCTGCTTGTCATATGCAGGGGAGCCACTGTTTGGTAGTTGATTTCCACTAGATAGCCTGCCTTGTGGGGTTGTAGCAAAAATTAGTCTTGTCTGAATACAGGCATATTCTTTTTATAATCACCGAGTACGCTTTGATTGGGTACTGCTTAATCTGTCTGATAAACGTGTAAATTTCTTTTTCCGTGTTTCTATCAGGAGCTCAGTGACATGACAGCTATAAAGGCAGAAGACATCCTGACCACCCTTCAGGGCCTTGATCTGATCCAGTACAGAAAAGGACAGCATGTCATCTGTGCGGACCCCAAGGTCCTAGATCGCCATCTCAAGGCTGCTGGTCGCGGGGGACTCGAAGTCGATGTAAGCAAGTTAATTTGGACTCCTTACAAGGAACAGGGTTGATGTTAGCAAGTTCTTCATGGTTTCTTCACAAACATACGATCTCTTTGACATGCTTTGTAAAAATGTAATTGTTAAGTTTAAATCAGTAGAAGTGTAGAAGTAGAAAAATTGATTTCCAAGTTCTCTCTCACTCCGAAATGGATGCCTGCTACTAACAGATATGATTGATCAAGTTTGACTATATATATATATATATTATATAGTTTTTGAAAACCCATCTGAGTAGCTTTCTCACGTGGAGAAATCAAAATCCATCTTTGTGGTTTTGGGAAATCAAACCCAATTTAGTTATGGGTCTTTGTTAACACTCGGGATTTCCTACTCACTTTTCCTACCCACTGGTCCCACTCTTTACCCGCCATCTCATGTGGCTGCAATTCATGGCGGATAGAGTGGGTAGGAAATAGAGATGTGTGGCTCCCTTACCTAACCCAAGATTTTACATGGGTTTGGATTGGATTTTTCAGGATTGTGGTTAGGTATGGGCCTAAAAGCTCAAATTTGACCTAAACTTGGTGTCGAGGTTTTGGATTATTTAAACCCAAATCCATCCAGCCCAAGTTGATTTTCAGCTTTCGGTGTAGCTCTGGTGCTAAAAACTTAGGGTCTGTTTGGTTTGTGGGAATAGAGGTCTAAAATTGGAATCAGAATTGGTTGGATGGAATCTGAAATCCCACTCTCATACCTGGTGGAATAATATTCCCCAATTTGATCTATTCCGGCCAATTCCCGTTCTGATTCTGATTCCCATTTGAATCAAACAGGTGGGAGGAATAGAGCATTCCAATTCCAATTCATTGACCCTTAATTTTGACCTAAGCTTGGGGTTGGGATTGAGTTGTGGGTACTTAAACAGTTAAACCCAGACCATTCCAACCCAAGCCCGAATTAACTTGGGCCTACTTGAAATGCGCTTCCAACGACAATCTCGCTCTTTGCTATGTCCTTGGGCTGGGCTAGACTCGAGTCCGAGCCTCCGAGGCCTAGGTCTTAGGGTCGGGAACTTGAGGTTGGGTTTGCCTTAAACTTGGCCCAACCCATTAAGTTGCACCCTCTACTTGATCCATGCTTAGTCATTGTTGCCTTTGACCACCTCCACCGCTCCACCCCAATTTAGTACTCAGGCTTGGATGCTACTTAATCCACACAATTCTACGTTAATTAATCAGAATCTATTTTGACGGACCAACCCTTCGGTCCAGTCCAAGCCTGACAACGCTGATTTCTATGTTAAAGAAGTCAACTAATCTAAGCCATCGATACAAGTTTCGAAACTTTTTTCCTTTGCTTTAGCTTTTGCTTTTTTTTCCCCTTTCTTTGGTGAGTTCACGTCTGCTGCGATGTCTCAGCACTTCCTTGTTCGGTTAGTTCCTTGCGAGTTGCGACCAGACATGAAGAACAAGTTTCAGAGCAGGAAAAAGAAAAAAGTACAGGGAGTGAGAGATCATTACCCCGGTTCTACTTTGGTTCTGGTTTTCATCTTTTGACGTGGATCTATGCTGATAAGGATGGTGTATGATTGCTTTTGACACCCTTTTTTTTTCTGGATATCTCTGAACTATCGATATGATGATATGGACCTTGCATTCAATTACTTTTATGATTGCAACACATTACAATGACTGACATTGGAATTTGGAACCCAAACAACTGTCAATTTACCTCTTTTTTTATTTATGTTGGTGAGCTAAATTAGAAGGGCATGAGAATTGGATGCATTCAGTCTCGTGGTTGCTTGCATGTTCCCTACTCAAATTTCACACAAAACCCATAATTTCTTGGCTACAAGAAATTTGGTGTTTAGTACCGAAGGTGTTTTTTTAGAATGTTTAAAGTGATATTGGATTATGTGTACATTTTTTTATAATTTATTCAATCCACTTGGGTGCTAGCACCATTAGGCACGATATAAACAAAAAGGTAAAAAATGGGGTACCATTGCAAGAGACACCAAAATAATGTTTTTTTCGCAATGCTATCTTCCACCTAAACAAGGTGTTTGAAGTAGGTGTTTATTTTTATAATGTCCCAACCAAACAGAAAAAAAAAAGTAGGTGGTACTTGGTGCTGATGTGGAGTGTTTATAAAAATAAATGCCCACCAGTTAAGAAATAGATTCTCCAAGTAGTAGTGAGATGGGACCAAGATAGTGTTAGAGTTTTAGTTAAGTGGAATGGTATTGAGTAAGTTCTTAGAGAGCAAAGATATGATTGCATCCTTTTGACAAGGAATTCTGAGCAAAGATATGATTCTGTCCTTGGAATACTGCATTGAAACTTTCTAAAGCTGTGCAAATATCCTTCTACTTCCTTTCTGGTATTGAAAATGCTGATTCTCATTTAATAGTCTATGATTTGATCTTACTTAATGACTTTATTTTATTGATTTTCCAACCAGAAACTTATGCTTATTGCTTGTCTCTGCAACAGGCGATTCCTTGTATGGCCCGGGGAAAAAAAACTTAGTGGTCCAATTAATGTGCTACAGAGTTGGGAATTGGGATCCCACTCTCATCAAGTAATTGACTAAAGCATTAGGACCGCAATTCAACCATCCACAGAACTCCCAAACAGTTACTTGGACAGTCAAGAGAGCCTACAACTTCCACTTTCAGAGGGCATCTGAAATTGGTGGCTCCTGTCTTGGCAATAATCCAAGGAATTCAGGAATAAAAGGCATCATCAGATACCACCAAAGCAGAGTTATCGTTATGTACTGAGGCTTAGGGCAGAACTACTCAGTACTCCAAGGTCTTAAGATCTTCTCATCACTAAACAAATATAAAGGTTGGAAATGGAGGTAGATTTTATGGTGGACGAATGGAGATGCAAAGGAACCTTGATTTTGAATGTTTTGACATGAGGGTGGACTAGGAGGTGGACTAAAGCATGAAGACTGCAATTCCTAGCCAGTAACCTGAATATCTCATCATGTGGGCTAGGAGGTCAGAAAATGTAATGGATGATACATGTGTAAAGGATGGAGTAACTAAGGGTGAACTGTGGGAAAGCTTTGCCAATCAAGGGTAGGCAGTATCATGGTATTTTCAGTTACTTGTGCTTGTCACAGTATTGCATGGACTCTCATGAAGTGGATAAAGTGTCTGTGTCAGACATTTGTAGGAATCCGACACTCCATGGATTCTAGAGGGACACTTGCACATAGTATTTTCCTTTCTTTCCTTGCTTATTTGAGATAAATGAACAGCTAATGTATACAATCAATATCATTTTTCCTAGAAAATGGTATTAACAGGGAAAAAACTTTTACATCTTTTTCTATTGGCATTTAATGTTAGAATTCAAATATAATAATGATTTTAATAAACTCAATGCATTAGAATTTAACATTTGTCACTCCCATCTCCAAGGCATTATATGAAATCATCAATATGTTCTGCACTGTTCTTCCTCTAATACCCAAAGGAACTGACCTCCATCTTCTCATTACTTCCACCAATGAGTTTGACATTGATGGGTTCATGCCAAAGAAAACCTTCAATGAAGATGGTATTCTTCCTCCTCTTCACAAAGGGATCAGATCTACTCTGGTTCTATTCCGAATCTGATTTGGATATCCTTTTAACCATAATCGGATTGGATCAGATTTCAAAATGTGATCCATTTATTAATCAAATAAAATTTGGATTTTTCTTGATCTGATCAACTAGTACCATAATCTATCAACTATTAGACCCTTTTTAAAATTCTTTAGGCTCAAGTAAGATTTGGAAAATTTTAAATCAGAAATCCAGATACATAACTGAATCAAATTCAAATATATGTTTCACATATCTATTGGCTACCAAATCAGATTAGACATACTAGATTCTTACTGGATCGGATAAGGATATACTCCTATTCAAATTCAACCAATCCATTTGCACCCCTACAAATAAAAGACTTCTTTTTGTTGAGAAAAATGCCTTCCAGTTGTCATCTAAAATCTTTTTATTGCTTCCAAAGAAAACACCTCGCATATCCCATCTTCAAACCCTACTTAAGGGGACCATGTTGACAATCTAATAATGCATCCAGTATAAACAAGGTCTTTACTAGTAAATGACTAGTCAATTGAGGGCCATGCCAAATGCATCATTAAATAGTTGGCCAATACCCATGATGCAGTTGCCTGGAATGGCTAAGCATCAACTAGGTCAACTAACAATAGTTATTCAAGAAGTTTTCTTTTGGTAGTTAACCATAAAGTCATTTTAATGTTTATTTTTCTAGCTGATCTTAAACTTTTAAATATAGTATTATGTATGTTTCTATGTTGTCGTGCAAGGCAATTGCTTTAAGAACTTGTAATAGCACATGGGTCTGGTGAGAGTATATAAAATAGAAATAAGGCCTAAAAATAGAAGAGAAATAGTGGAGCTCTTTAAGGTCTTCTTTCAATTGGTGGTATGCTACCAATGCAGAGTTTTCATAAACAAGGAGACCACATCAAATAGTCAAGCACACTCTCTTAAGTACAAATACCATTGCCTCCTACCTCAGTCAATCCAAGCTTCTCATTTAGTCATATCTTTGAATTTTGTTCCATAATCATAGGTAGGACCTTAGGATAGGAAGATTTAAGTTAAATATTGCCCAATTCATTGGGAGATGGTCTCATCGGGGGGAGGGGGAGTGACAGTGAATATGGCATCTCTCCCAGGTAGTTTTTGTTATTCACCATATTGGTCATGATCACTCATGACAATTATCTTTTTCCATTGGATAGCTTCAATTTCAGGTTCTTGCATTGGTCAATCCCATGTCTTGAAGGTTGATAGTTGTATATTTCCTTTGCCACCTTGCTGTATTAATGAATTCATTTTGATTGTCAATCAGATAAAAACTATCTTGCTTATTTAAATCTTCTTTTTGCTATTCAAATAGTGAACACTAACAGCTAAAAGGGTGGGATAAGTTGTTACAAAATGATTGAACAGATCACCATACAGTGCATCTTTATAGGATGATTAATTCCTATGGCATTCTTTATAGGATGATTACCCATATTGAAGCTTGAAAATGGATGTATTTTTCACCACTACAATTTCATTATAGTTTGATTGTTAAGAATATGGTAGATCAGGTGTGATCACAAGTTCACAATAGTTTGATTGGTCTAATTTGTGGATTGGTTGATATTTGTATATCGCCATCATCATCATCATCCAAGCCTTACCCCAACTATATGGGGTTGACTACATGAATCCTTTCCACCAGCTCATTCCATTTAATGTGATACCTGAAATATTTTATTGTTAGTGCAATACATCCAAATGACGGTACATTATACTAACAATGGAGGTTGTTACATAATCTGTATTGGTCACGCAGTTCAATTGGGTCAACAATCAACATGGAAATTTTCTAAGTGGACCAAAATTTTTGTTAGGCAAATTTGAACATGGAAGTTCTTTAAGTAGACCAAGTTTATTGCTAAGTCATTCTTATTTTCCACTCATTCTGTAAATATTACCATAGTGTAGGGCCTTGATCCTGACATAGTACAGGAAAGAACAGCATGCCATTATTTTATGCCAGATTAATGGTTTGGAAAAGATTGTGTTTGGTCTGTCTGTGCCTGAAAGAAGTTAATTGAGTTTTCACCCGTGCAGTTCCCTGTAATCCAGGCAATGTGTAGCACTAATCCATGAAAGTGAAACAAATTTTGCAACATTGCAATGGATTTTGGGAATGATAGTTCCTTTCTGTCGCCAGATGCTTAAAGACAAAATATGTTTTTTAGAATAAATTATGACTGCAAAAGCTAATTCAATATCAGTAAATCTTTGATTTTTTTTTTCTGGTTGGGAGGGGGGAGGTTTTTTGATTTACTTGTTCATTATTTGGTTCCTTAGGTTTCCCCATGCATCATTGATGATTATTATTTGTTCATCCTAGAAGTTGTAGGGCATTATCCTCTTCTTGGATGCTGAAAATTGTTTTTGGATGCTGGAGCCATGGAGCTTCATTATAAACCAAACCACAGATGGTTGGTAAAAGGTCATTAGAAACACAGGAAAGGCCATTTCCTGAACTTGGACTTTTGAACTACATAGAGTGCTCAGAAGGGTCCCTCTTGATATCTTGTAAGTAGCACAAGAGCAATATCTTTCATCCAGGTATGGATGGCACTAATGAAGTATGGTTTTGTGATTTTGTCCTGTGTTTTCTCTTGTTTGCTTGTGACAAAATTGTATTTTGGACTTCAAATATATTGATCTACTTATCCTTAGTCTTCTTCTTGCTGCTAGAATACCACTATTTTCTTTTGTCTTCATTGAATATTGATTAGTCCACAAGAAAATTGCCCATATTCAAGTCAATTTCCAACAGTACCTGTCTAATCATTGTATGCAGAAAAATAAATGAAAATAAGCATGAAACAAGAATGGAGGGCATGCAGACAAAAAAATTTGATACAAGGATCTTGAGCAGTAGGATTTTTCAATTGGAATAATATTTTCTTCTTGCTAATTGCAGCATGCTCAGGCTCTGAAATGTGTGTAAAAGTGCAACTTGGGAGATTAATCCAATATGAAGCTAACCTGATTTACCAGTAATTTTAACTATACAAGGTAATCACTATTGTTCCCATATATTTAATATTTTATATATTGCAATGGCCAACTGGATTCAGCCATATACAGTGCAAACTGATGGTTGGTTTCGGTTGGTTCACTCAGGTTAAACTTCATTTTAAGGTGCATGGTTGCCTCTTCAGCCTTTCAAGGTTGGGTATTCAGCTCTTCCATGTTAGGCTCAAGTTGACCTGCTTCCAGTTGCAAGCTGAGCAGACACTATATGGGAGTTGTTGATTCCCAGTTGATGCGTCCTATCAAAGGGTTGAAAAATGTCATCTTATTACTTTGTATTTGTTGAATGCAGGGCTACTTTTTTGTTTATAGTCATTTTGGCTGTTCTGTTTGCCTAGTTACTGTTTAGTCTGATAAATTAGTGGCTCTTATTCCCTTTACTTTTCTTTAACAGGAGGTCAGTGGCATGATGGCCATAAAGCAGAAGATATACTAACCACTCTGGAGTTCCTTGATCTGAATACAAGGAAGGTGGCATGTCATTAGAATGACCCAAGGTATTGCCATCTGAAAGTCTCAAATCAAGGGGAAGTTAAGGTCGAAGTGAGTTAATTTGGAATCCTTACAAAGAAAAGGGTTTATGTCAGAAAAATTTTGGAGATTTCACATGGTAATTAGTTTATTTTTGAGTATGGATTTGGAGAAGAAATGTTTTTTTTCCCAATGTTGTGACTCTGATTTCAATGGTTTATTTAGTCATGAATGTATAGTGCTACCATGTATTGGATTATGTAGTTAGTTGGATTCTAACAGATAACAAAAACATGTTGAGCTTGAGCACTAGGCATTACTTTCTGATTCTGAGTCTGGTTAACTGGTTTTTAGTGGATGAACAAGCTTCTATGCCGGATAAAATGGGATGGGGGCCTCATTGGGTTGCCCATGAATTTTTGGTGATTACTACTTTGTCACTGTCCTACAAATTGCAGGATAATATCCTCTTCCAATGCTGGAAAGGATTTGGGATGCCCCCAAAAAATGAAATGAATTCTGCAGTTAGAGTCATCACATCCTGTTGATGTAACTGTCCACCTAAAGGAGGGGCCAGCCAGTAAGTCATAATTCCATGGTTTCTGGACCTTGGTGTGCCATGGAGCAGTGGCCAGCCAAGATTGTCTGTACTTGGACGCTTCTTGCAACAGTCAAGAGTAATGGACCCCACCCCACTACACCAAACCTGGATTCCACCAAGTAAATGCATTATTGAATTAGAGATTCGATAATCTCAAAGCAGATTTGTTATTCAACGTAAGCATGGTTAAGGGTTGTCAAGTACTGATTCAACCAAGACAGAAGTATAGATTAGAATACTTTTGTTCTCCATCAGCCATCATATAACAGGCCAACAGGTATACATCCTTTTCGTTTCTTATATTACAAAATTAAACTTCTGATTTAAACTACTAAATAGTATTTTACCCAAATCGAAGTCATCATATGCACTGATTGAGTCTTTTGATGGTATTCTAATCTAAAGCAGAAAAGTCTACATTTAGAGAATTGTTGAATGCATGACTGGAATTTTAGAAGTGACCAAGCCATCAATACTGCCTCTCTCTCTCTCTACTTTTCTGTCTTTTTTTAAGATTTTTGAACAACCACACGTGAAAGCTTAAAACATAATTTCCACTTGCAATTTTGTACAAGTTTTTAGAAAAAAGGGATGGCTGTAGTGTCTAGACTCCAGAGAATACTTACCACCTTCTATCTTAAAAATCAAAATTTGTTTTTTACTCTCTCTCTCTCTCTCTCTCTCATCTTTAAATAAAATTTGGTGTCCCCACACTTGAGATATGTAGTTCACTATATGCTAATTGGTTCATCTGTCCAGTCCATTCAATTGAGTGGTCCATTTCTTGCAAACCACGAATCACAAATAAGCCAAAAGAAGTTGCCATTGAACGTTCTTGTCTACCAGACTATTCTACCACTGGTTCAATTGCCTCTGTGCGCGTGTGTGTGTTTTTATATTTCATTCCCTCTATCAATCTAGGATTGGGTTCCTTGATTGAAAAGTGTGTGTGGCCATTTTGCTTTTTGAAGAATGCTACCAACTAAGCGAGGAATACCATCTGTAGCTCATCAATCCGGATTTCCTGCCACAACTCTCTACCCACACTCTACCTGCCTTGAATTGCAGCCACACATCCCCATCTTGTATTGTGAGATGTGCAGCAGCAGTATACCGTGGGTAGGGTGTGGGTAGAGAAAGTGAGTTGGAAATCTGATCACGTAGCTCATTACGGCCAGCAAATCTGAAGTAGACCTTTGAAGGCCCACTGGCTGAACAGTTTGATGGGCCCCAGAATAAGACCTTTGAAGGCTCACTGGTTAAATAGGTGGAAATCGGGTTGGCTGGATGTGTTTAATTGAGCCAAAATTTAGGGTTCATTTGGTTCATAGCCGGAATCAGAATCGGAATTGGAATCAAAATCTGTCAGAATTAGGAATTGGAATGATTTATTACCATAATCTGTTTGGTTCAGACAAAACTAGAATGGGAATTGAAATCAGTTGGAATGAGATTTCATTCCCAAGGTCTGCCCAACCAAACAGTTAGAATCGGATTCGTCCAACCATTGGGACGAGAGGTGTTTATTTATTTGCTATGCAAAAAGTACGTATGCTGATGTGAATGCAAATTCGGTCAAGGTCAAGGAGTATGGGTGCAAATTCATTTCGGTTTTGTTTGGTTGTGATAGATGTAGATATGAATCTCAAGGCCGGGGTCAAGGTATTTTGCATTAATTGACCAATTTTTAATGCAAAATTTGCTCTACTTTTTGGAAGCAAAGTGTCCAATTTGGATGCAATAACGGTGGAAAAAGCAAATTTATTTTCATTTTTAGCACAAAAATATATTCTTACCAAGCAACTATAAAATTGAAGTATAAGTACAAATTCATTTTGGTTCTGCATTTATACTCTCACCAAATACAGCCTAAAATAAACCAAATTTGTTTTTCAATCCATTGTGTGAAAGGAGACATTGCAGCATCCCCTTAAAACAAAATAAAATATAATGGCAATGATTTCTTCAACACCCCAAGCAGGAAATTCTAGACGTTGTATTGTGTTGCGGTTTAAAACAAAACAGGCATTAGCAAAGTAGGCATTTGGCATTGGTGCTGGGAACATCTCACCATTTTCTCATAAAAATAGTATTGGATATGTGGAGTTGTAAGAGAAAACGGTGCTTATTTTTTGTTTGGAGTCAATGTTACCTGCCACATAGGCATTTTTTGAGAAAACATCATTAGTTTTGTTTGGTACCAGTGCTCACAACAATGTTTTCAACATGGTTTATATTATCAATGTCCAAGATGATGCCACATCATTGCACCACTGGCAGCAATGCACCGTTTTCTCAGAAAACATTGAATTTGATGTTACTCCAGACCACACTTTTCTGATTTCCAAGACGTGGTCTGGAACAATGTTTTTTTCTAGAAAAACAGCTCCAAACAAGAGGGTATTGTTTGAAGCACCGTTTTCTCTGATGTAGCACCTACATGGCACCATTTTCTTAGAAAACGGCATTGATGCCAAACATCACTAAAGTTATTGACTTATTTACTTTCAACATACTACTGTTGTAATCTCATGCAATGCAACAGAAATCGGATTTGGTCCTCGTAAGGCCATGTTTATACTGTTCGCACAGTCCCTTACAACCTTGGACTGGGAATATCTCCCCATAAAAAAATATACAATTATAGAAATATTCCCAATGCATAGAGCAATCAAGCTGATTTCAAAGCAACGATATAAAAATGCAGTCACACCAAACAGCACCTAAATTCTACTAAGTGTGGCATCAAATCCCACCTTTAATAAAGAAAACTTTGGCTGTCCACCGTTCGATAGCCTGGGCTGGTCTTTGGCCTAACAGGTAGCAGTGTAGTTTCAATCCGTCGTTGACCTAGCCGGTGAAACATTCGAACCGCCATTCGGCTAAGATTTTAGGTCAGGTTCAGTTAAAATCCATTAGACAGTCAAAACTGTTGATTTCGTCAAGAACCATTCAACACAACCGATTTGATCGTTGACCCATTTGATCTAATGATCGGGTTGCGGTTGCATACTCAGTGCATGTAAAACTTTCGAAGGCCATAACTTTGCACTCCAATGTCCGATTGGGGTGATTTTTTTTTTATTTTGGATAACTTTTCAAGATTTATGTGTCCCAATGGGCCATAGGTGTTTGCTATTTTTGCGAAAAAAGAAAAACATTTTTTAGCCTCAAATTGCAATTTTTAATATCTTTTGTAAATAAAAAAATTAAAAATTGAACTAAAAACACATAAGTTAAATAGAAAATAATACATACAGCATATCTCAAACATATTTATACATTATTTATTTCTAAAATATATATTTATACACATATATATACATATATGTACATAAATATATACTTAATACATATATGAGCTGACGTGACACAGTGTGAACTGTTCGACCTAGTCGGTCAAACTGGTGACCTGCGACCTGGAGTAAAAAATGGTTTATCCTTCAGGTTGGTTTTTAAAACATTGGGTAGCACCAAGGTTTTTAAATTCGAACCAGACATAACCATTCTGGGTCCGGTTCTTTGGTCGAAAGATTTGATCGTTCGGACCGAATGGATGACCCACTTTGACAAAAAAATTAACAAACAAAAAATAGCCAAAAACCATTGTTTGGGTTAACAGTTCGACCACCTAGGTCAGTAGTTCGCAGACCAAATCAACGGTTTTTGGCCAACAAGTGGTTTTGAGGTGAAATGGAACTAGTCTAGTCTAGTTTTAAAAACACTGGGTAGCACGACTCCTCCCTTGTTTGTTGGCACCTTTGTTTGACCAGAAAAGTAGCGATAAAAATTTACTATGGAAGAAGAGAAAGGAGATTAGGGGGAAAAGTGTGGGCATTTTTTTTCTGTTTTTACTAAAAAATTAGTTTTAAGTAAAAAAACAAACAAAAACATAAAATCTATATATATATATATATATATAAAACAAGGCAATGAAGAATTTTTCTCCTTTTTTGAATTTTTTAATTTTTTATTGCATGTCATTTTTGAAACAACCAATGAGAAACTTTCCCAATAACCTAAATAATCTCTTCTCCTAAAATTTCTCCTAAACTACCTCTCCCACTTTTTCCAAAATTATCTCTAATTCCTATTTATCTTCTAAATTATCTCTAATTCCTATTTATCTTCTAAATTATCTCTAATTCCTATTTATATTCTAAATTATCTCTAATTCCTATTTATCTTCTAAATTATCTCTAATTCCTATTTATCTTCTAAATTATCTCTAATTCCTATTTATCTCCTAAATTATCTCTAATTCCGGTTTATCCTCTCCCCTACTTTTCATCTATATCTATCTAAAGAAAATTTGGATTAAAAAATTTAAGAAATAGTTAAATATTCTAACAAAATTATATAATAACTTTAAAATATTTATTAAAAAATAATTTTATATTTTTACAAAACATATCACAAAATTATGTACTAACAATATAAATTATGTTTTTTACTGGATTATCAATTTAAATGTTTTTCAAATATTTAATAATATGTAATAGCTTTAAATAAATAAAATTAAAAATAACAAAAAAAATTAAATATTTTATAGATTATTTAAATATTTAAATAACTAAATATTTATCATAACTAGAATTTAAATAGTTAAAATAACGAAATTATGTAATAAATTTAAAAAATTTCTTCA